GGACGGCCCCCACTCAACACCAAGCACCAGGGGGGTCCCCAGGTCCCCCACACTTCTGTCCGGCTCGGTTGCAAACTGAGGGTTCCCACGACCCCCTCCCCACAGAACTTTGGAAACACCTGGCTCTCTTACCGGTTTATCCTGAAGACGGGGGTGAATCTCCAGACGACGAGGTCCAGGAGGGTCCCGAGTGCAGGGGCTTCAGTCTCCGTGGACTTTGGGGGGCAGCCCCCTCCCAACCTGCGGGCGTGCTCCCCACCCCGGAAGCGCTCAGAGTCCTCGTATTTTGGCTTTTTTATGGAGGTTCCATCAGGCAGGACTGGCTAAACCCTTGGCCGCTCAGCCTGCGGCCCCTCTCCCCTCCCCGGAGGCTGGGGGCGTGGCTAAGAAGGTCAGCCCTCTGGGCAGGTGCTGGTTCCTCTGGCCGCCAGCCCCACCCCCAAGAGCCACCGCATTAGCATAAACTCAGGTGTGGACGAGCTTATTAGGAATAACAAGACATACTAGCCTCAAGCCCATCATTCACGAAACCCCTGAGTTTCAGGAGCTCGGGGCCAGGAACCAGGGAGGTCCTCCTGGAGGAGGTGGCCCTGCATCCAAGGACAGTGTCCTCAGAAGAGACAGAAGAGGAGACACAGACACAGAGGAGACGCCACGTGGAGACGGAGGCCGAGATGGGAGGGAGGCGGCCACCAGACCAAGGATGGACGCCTGGAGCCCCCGGAAGCTCGAAGAGGCAGGAAGCGAGGAAGGACCCTCCTTGTGAAGGATACGTGTCTGTCTTAAGCCGCTTGGCTTTTGGTAATTTTTGACTGCCACCGCAGGAAATGAATACAGTCCTGTAAAATATATGTAATGTCTTTTTTCTCAATACCTTACCTCCTTCAGGAGTAGTTACAGTTTAACTTTTAGTTCCAGTTATTTAGTAAAAGACTTGGTGATCGAAGGAAGGGTGGAAACTCAGACACCACCGTGCAGGTGGGGGAGAGCCCTGTTTGGAAGAGCGAGTGTTTCTCCGCACACCTGAAATTCCACTTCTCAGCAGAGGCGGGAGGTCCCCCTGACAGCTCTGCCCAACCCCTGGGCGGACAAGCCCAGGTTAAAGGGGAGCTCCAGGTACACGTTAGCTACCGAGGGCCACCTGTGAGTGACGAAACTTGGCAGGCGTCCCTCACGTCCAGGTAGACATTCCGAGTTCAGCTTTTCAAGCAAGGTAAGAGGGATTTTTAAATTAATTTTAATAAAGGGAGAAAGCACCTGTAACCTTCAATTCTAAGACGAAGAAGAAAAAACAACGGGTGTGAAGCTGACACACCAGGAGCAAAGCGTGCGTTGGCTTTATTCTCTTCTCAAAGCCAGAAGGAACATATTGCGCAATGCCAAGCCCTGGCTAATTAAGCAGCAACATTTGGAGAAGGAGACTGTCTTAATGGAATGAATCATTGTGAATCAGCAGGCTGAGATAAAGAATTATTTGAACTGTTGAACGTGGTGATTTAGTTTAAAAGGGAGACAGAGACAGCCTAGAAAGAGGTTCTCAGGGCCGGCAGCCTGTGAGCCCCCTCTGGGAACGCGTTGGAAATGCAGGTGCTGGGACAGCCCCCCAGGCCTGCTGACGCGGCCCGTGGCAGGCGACTGGGGAAAAGGAATTTGCTTTTGCTTCTTAAGAGACTCAAACATAAAACCTTGCAATGCTTTACTTAAAGAGGCCGGCAATTTGGAAATCTGCCTTTCGTGATGAAACCTCGGTCCCAGGGATGAAGCAAGGACTTGAACATGGGGAAGGCTGGCAGCGCAGTCTGGTAGCTGATAAACAGGTGACTGTCCGCTCTCTCCGCAGGAACGACCGATACCGGTGGGTTCCACGTCCCAGTTTCACAGCCGTATTTAGGTTTCAGAAACGGTCTGCAGGCCGCTGTGTGGGTTACATAAAACCTGTTGTGTTTATTGCTGCTGACAGGCATGCGGCGCTGGTCGAAAAGCATGCTCGGGAGATTAGATTCCCCCTTTGATAATGACCGGAGTGCAATCAGAGAATGAAATTTGTTTTCTCGTCTGGTGACGCCAGAAAGGCTCCCTTCAGCTGAGCTGTCACGAGGAAATCATACGGAAAATTTGCACGTGTGTGTTCAAGGAGGGCCTGGCGACAGGAGGGTCATGTAGCAGCAGGTCAGTGCAAGGTACATGACTTAGTCCTGAGCGTGAGGGTAATACGGAGCTGTTGGGTAAATTCCCGGTAGTTGAAATTCAGAAGTGCCTTCTTATCTTTGACTTAATTGTGATACAAGGAAAAGTGAGGAGAAACTTGGAAATCTCGAGTATTGGCATTAAGAAATAATAAAGTTCTATGTTTCAAAAATCTATAGATAACGTCTATAAATACAGTCACTCATCTCTTTATCTCACCAACACCCGCTATCCCTTTAATTTATATACATTCAGGTAACAGGTTACCACTGCTCTGAGCACGGTGTTTATAATGTAACACATGTGATTTTGACCATTCTTGACCCTCTTTTTCCAGGAAAGGGTATAAACTGGAAATAAATTACACTTATGCATCCACAGACACCCTTCAAATATGCAGTCAGAATGAGGGTATTTCCAGTGACACAAAAAATAACGAAACCCCATGTAATTTGAGAGGTGCAGGGGAATTTTAAAATGTATATTAAAATGTAATAAAAACAGAGACAGACTTTATCCTAGAAGGACGGCATTCCTGTCCCGGGATGTGTGACTTCAAGGAATGTAGACATAACACGCCTCGGAGAGACAGAATGAAGATTGTTAGAAGTAGCGCGGTTCTGAGGATGAGGGGCTGTAACTGTTCCTCAAGCTGAGTGAGGACGGGAGAGCCTGGCCTGGGCCCCCGGGGCTCACTCGGCGGGATGTGATTCTCAGAAACAGCTGTCTCTTGCCCCCTGCCCCCCGACTCTGCATAGACAGTGCCCTTGGCGGAGGTTTGGGGGACCCCCCCGGGTCAGGACAGGAGTGAGGAGGGAACCAAGGCTGTGGGTCGAAGTTAGGGATCCTGTCTTACATCCTTCAGGGCACAGGTCGGCCCCACAACCAAGCGTTAGCCAACCTCAAATGTCAATCCAAGCTAGGGAAACTCTGTCGGACCCCAGTCTCCCCAGTTCTGACCCACAGTGGTCAGAACTGAGTGAACAGAATTGAATGAGCCTCAGAACAGAATGAACGTAACCATCAACCTGCACCATCCCGTGTGATAAATCTGACATGTATATGGGGTTCTTGCAATGCCTAGAATGTCTAAAACGTTTCTGCACACCTTAATCCAGTTCTCATTGGGTTATAAGAGCCTTTAGGAAAAAAAAAACAACCTCAGTCATGTGCCCGGAACTGAGGGCACAAAGGGAAATACAGTAAACAAAATAAAATCTCAGGCGATGCTGGAAGGCTGCTGGAGGGAGTAACGTCACACACTACACCACGGTCTGAATTCACAGCAGGGCGATCCCAGGCTCCGTGTGGCCAAGAAGGGGCTCACCCTCCCAGGGCAGCTCAGGGATCTTCAGAAACTCGGCGCCTCGGCTGCGGGTCCTGAGGTGGGAGGCACCAGGTGGGAGAGGTGAAAAGACGGAATCGGAGTCAAAAGAAGGCGCAGCCTCTTCTGAGACGTGACAAGCTACCGCGGCTGCCGGGAACGGGGGCTCGAAGCCAGCGAGACGCTGCCGTGAAACACGGGGTGCATCGCCACGGTCTGAGGTGTGCCGGGCAGCCGGTGGCGGTCACAAATGTGTGTCCGTCACCAAAGTAAGCGCCGAAGCACATGTTGTTTTTTTCTCGTGTTATTTTGCAATCAAAGAGTTGGTTTCTTTCAGTCTCGGGATGTCCGTTAAATAACTCTTTTATACATAACTAATTTTGTTTATTTTTTTTTAACGTCAAGGAGAGGAAACAGCTTTCAGGAGGAGCTACACAAGCATGGGGCTGCTTTTCTCAAGCTGCGTGTGTGTTGCCTTTGAGACAGCCTGTTGGGGATGGGGGCGTGCAGGGTGGACAGGGTTTAAATCAAGAGACAGAGCTGTGCACAGCAGGCCGGGCCCAATGGTCCGCACTCACAATCGGGTGATGTCGGCTTTGGGTCCAGGTTAAAGATCTCCGGACGTCGTGGGAGAGTGTTTCGGCGCTTCTGCGAGTTTTCACTGGTTCCTGCTTCTGGCTGAACAGCCCTCCCGCCTCTCTCACAAAGAGTTTTGAGGCTGAAACCTCTCCATCACTCTCTCTCCCTACTGCTCTGTCCTACGACCACAGCAGGTTCCCAAAAGCCAGTGCTAGGTTACTCTGGAAAGTCCCAGAAAAACAGACCAAGAGTAAAGACAAAACGAGCAAGCCAGCAGAAAAGCAGCCAAGCAAGGAAAACGCAGACTCCTCAGGCCGGCACCCGCTCTGCCACCTGGTGCCCCCAGTCCTCCTCCGTCCACTTGTGACGCCCTCCCCCGCCATGGTCTCCCTCCCCATCTCCAGCAGGTGGGCCTTCTACTCAGCCCTCATCAAAGGATTGTCCACATCTGTTTCCACGGCCTCCGAGTCCAGCCACGCCTGGGCCAGTGAACGGGCCCCTGTCTGCCATCTTAACGCAGGGAGATATGTGACCTGATTGCTGCTTGTGACAAGTGACCTAAACCTGGTGGAGCTGTCCCCACCGCATCCACTGCTACTGCCTCCTCACCTGCGCTCTGAGTCTCCCCAGGGGTCATTAACCTAGCAGAATCAAGAGGCCACCGAGCTCTAAGGGCGACTCTCACGGCTAGGACTGTCACCAAAGAGGCCACACGCACATCTACAGCAAGGACGCTCATGCCCGTGAAGTGCCGGGCAGCCGGACGCTTCGGCTTCTCATTGGCCAGCCTTGTGAGGGGACTACACAGACACCTGACGCCACACCGTCAAGCTGCGGACGCAGCGGAGAGAGCAGGCAGGAAGCGACGTCAGCAAGTGCCGGGCTCGGCGAGGGGGGTGAGGAGAGGTACCTGGTGGGCGAGCTGGGGCTGCTGTCACCGGCGTGGCACGTGTGCTTCTCCGTCTTCACTCCTCACACAGCCACTCGGCCGAGGAGCCACAGGGGACCGGTCTCCTTACGGCTCGGGAAGTTCCTGCAGACGAGCACAGGGTTTTATTCTGAGGTTCAGCTAGTCATTACTACCCAGGGTGCGGTTTTAAAATCATTAGGGAGATGTCGGTTATATATTACATGCCCCAAATAGTGCATGGTGTAGATTGGGTGTAGTCAGATATAGATAGACAGGTGGTGGCTAGATAGACAGATAGATGGATGGACGGATGGTTGGATGGATGCATAGAAAGATAGATAGATAGATAAGATAGGTCGATAGACAGATAGATAGATTAGATGGATAGATGGATGGAAAAATAGACAGATTGGATGGATGGATGAATGGATAGATCAGTCGATCAATAGATAGACAGACAGACAGACTGGATGGATGGAGGGAGGGATGGATAGATAGATAAATAAGATAGGTAGATAGATAGATAAGATGGATGGATGATTGGATGGATGGATAGATGGATGGATGGATAGATAGATTGATAGAAAAGATGGGTAGATAGATAGGTTGATAAATGGATGGATGGATGGATAGACGGATGGATAGAAAGATGGATGGATGGATGGATGGTTGGATGGATGGATAGAAAGTAGATAGATAGATAGATAGATAGATAGATAGATAGATAGATAGATAGATAGAAAGATAGATAGATTAGATGGATGGATGGATGGATGGATAGGTGGGTGGGTGGATGGATGGACAGATGGATAGATAAATGGATGGGTGGATAAATGGATAGGTGGGTGGATGGATGGATAGATGGATGGATGAGTGGATGGTAGATAGACAGGTAAGTAGATAGGTAAGTAGATGGGTATATGCAGAGTTAGAGATAGATAGGTAGGTAATAGAACAGATAATAGAAGACAGTGGATATGCAGATACAGGGATCAGAAGATACATTATAGGCAGACAGATGACAAAATTGATGGCAGATGGACTCTTATCCTCAGTGGAATGGTAATGTGATGCTGGAGGTAAAGCAAAAATGTACGATCAATGGAAACATGAAAAGCTATAGAACAATGTTAGGCAGTGGTGCGCTCATTAGCAGTTTTGCAAAAGACACTCTTTGTACATTTTCAACCTAGACTCGGAGTACCTAACGCACCACAATGGTGGACAGTCCTGACAGCACGTGTATAATAAGGTGCTGCAAATTCTCATGCGTGTCCTGCGTTCTCAAAGAAGTGTTAAATTATGAATGCACTCAGGACGGAAGTGAGCCTCCCTGTAGTTTACAGCTTGGAAATCAATTGGTATTTGGGAAATGATCCCAGGGGCTGTCAGCTTTTGTTTGGGCTCCAAAAAGAGAGTGATACTGGGTAACACGGTGAGAAAAATAACAATGAGAAACACAGAAATTTTTAGAAATGCAGAAATATAAAGAATAGTGCGACAAAGAACAGTAAAGGAAGTGAGGGGATGGGAGTGGCAATTTCGTTTTTCTGCTTTCATTTATTGTTCACTTTACCTTGGTTTTTTAATGCAAAATAAAAGCCACGCACAACCACGGAAGAAAAAAAATCTCGGTAGAAAAAAAAAAGGCTATGCAGTGAATAAAACAGTCACAACCCAGAACGGCCGTCTGCGTAGAGGGGTCTATGCTTTTACGCATACAGATATGTGTCTAGACACAGTTATTTTTCCACGTTGGAGGATGAGACACACAGTCTTTCCGTACCTCATTTTCTCTTTAAACAGTTTGGGAAAAGGATCCGTTTCGTCATATATACATCGTTGTGTCAAAGTAATCTATTTTTTTTTTTATTAGTGGAGGTGTCACACTATCGTTTACTAACCCCCAGTTAGGTCCACTTGGGTGGGTTCAAGTCCTTTGTTTCATAAATCATGCCAAAATGAGCCTTTTTGTCTGTTGAGCTGTGTGCACATGTTCAACTATATGGGTAGCCTGAATGTCTAGATTTGGAATTGCGAAATCTCATTTCTTTCAAAGAGATGACACCCGTCTGTGTTCCCACCAATAACGTATGTTTCCCCACATCTTGGCCAATACTACGTATATATTCAGATATTTTGAGCTTTCTCAGAACAGCAGGATAAAAAAAATACCCATCCATCTGTACCTGGTTGTTCTCATTTTCCCGTTAATACTGGGACCGCGATCGGGCAATGTTTCATCCGTTTATAAGCAAATAGTATTTATTCTTCTGTGAAATGTCTGTCCACGCCCCTGGTCCATGCTGTCTGCCGGGATTTTCGTGTCTCATTCAATTGTAAAACTCGTTCAGTACTAGGCAAATTTTGTCTCTGTATGCAATATCTTGCATATTTTGGTTCTTTTGATGTTTCTTGCCATTTGTGCAGCAATGGTTGGTTTTTTTTTTTTTAAGTTTGTATTATCACACTTACCGACCTCTTCTTTACAGTGTCTGGGGTTTTCCTTTGCTTATAAATGCCCCTGAAACGCTAAGACTAGTTTTAAAAATATTGTCCCACCTCTGCTAGTCTGAGCGTTTCCCCCCACTCTTCTGTTTAAGCCTTTGGTCTATGCACAGTTTTCTCTGTTGAAAGGACGGAGCGTGTGTTTACCCCAGCCCCACATGTTGTTGCACACCCAGCAGGTGTGTTGTTCCAGGTGCTCTGGCTTGGTGTGAACTGCTATCTGTATTAAATAAAATTTCAATATATTGTGGTGGCAATTTCAGGATTCTCTACTGGTCTGTCTAATCACACATCTCGGCTCAACTTTGATGAATTAATATTGCTGAGTACCATGCTTTGATGTGTGTTATTATGGTCTAGAAGTTCCCAGGTGTGGAGTTCACGTGGAAAAGAAAGTGTGAGCATTGTCAAGCATGTTCTTAACAAGCAAGCGCATATATGGTATGTTATAGATCAGATATAAATAATGCTGAATGTAATTACTCTGTTTTCTTCTTGTCTCCAACAGCGTTTTAGATTACATCAGTATTTCCCACACACACACTCACTCACATCTGCAAAGTATTGCATTTCCTCCTTCCTAACTGAATTGTCCAATAATTTCACTAAATCACCACCAGGCGGGCATCCTTCTCTCACGCCAACATTAACAGGAATTCCTTGAACGTTTCCATGTGAATTAAAGCGCTGGTTCACGGCTGGTAATACTCATTGTTCCGTAATACAGTGACCAGTGCTTTTTCATTGCCCGCTTTGGCCATAGGAGACACTGGATTTCATCAGATTCGTCCTGGCACATACCAGTCCCGGGGCTTCCCGTCCTCTGTGATTTATTACCGTGGTGCATGGCCCTCACAGATGTGGACCCCTTCTTGGATCTGATGGAAGGAACCAGGTTTGAGACTCATCATGATTTTGCAATTCAATGATATTACAAGGCATTGATTCTTTGGGAAAGAGAATATGGGTGTCGGTGCCAGGTGGAGACCCTGCGTTGACCAGAATGGCCGGCACTGGCACTGGGAAAAGAGCCAGACAAACCGGCTTCTCACCTCACAGGGCCCGGAGGTGACCCCTAACCTCACTCTGCTCATCCATAAAAGGATCTGTGCCAATCCTTGTTCTGAGTCCCCTAAGAGTATTTTTATTTATTTATTTTTTTATGGAAGGCTTTAAAACACGTAGAATTAACTACACTTCATCTGAATGAAAAGGGTGGGTACCCCCCAAGCATGCTTTTGACGAAATTTATTCAGGCACTTTGGAAGTTCCCTGTGTGCTTGTTTGGGGACAAAAGCCTAGCTTTTAATTAATCGGAAGTCAACCAAATTGCATCATTGGTGCGATGAGGATTTTATTTGCACATCCCTGCCATGCCTCCTCGTCTCACTGTTCCATTATATTTCCTTTTAATGCTCCAGGTGACGCGGACTCTGGAGTATTAAATTTACACCACTGAGCTCACGTTTCACAAAACGACAAAGGATACTAACAGGTCCCGGTGATCACCCCATTTCAACACAGCACGAGAAAAACGTACAAAAAATACTAAGAATGAATCAAATATAACTAATTGGAAAAGCATAATATTTGAAGTGACCACCAGTAGAAGCATTACCACCATGCCACACTTTCACTTTTTAACCAAGAACATATTAAATTCAGAATTTTTGCTTTAGCATTTTTTTTAAATTTGAATTCAAAAAAAAAAAAGCCTTACGGACTCCTCTAATACAAAGTGTAAATGAATCATCAGCGCTCGCACGTTCCAAATACTGTATTACGTCCTCCAAATAGATTAGGAACGTGCCCGAAATGCCCACTGAACTTGTAACGCTGTGCAGAGACATCAGTCATTAAAGACATAGACGCACAAGTCAGTGAAAAATAATAATGCAGGCAAGTGTCGTTCAGAACAACATTCAGAGGGGTCACTGCCACTCAGAGCCACAGACCCGTCTTCCTTAGCAGCCTGATGAAATACCTGGACAAAGACAGAGTAAAACTTCAATGACAGTTTTGGTGTAGCCTTAGTGTCGTGGTCCAGACCACAAGCAACTGAAAGCGCAAAAAAGCAGAAATACGTATGCTTCTCCCCCAAACTCCTGCACCATGTTCTTATGAAACATACAGGGTTTATTCATCCTTTCTGCTCATCCGCTCATGCAATGATCTGCCCGCGGTTCCTCACCTAGTCACCCGGCAGACGCTTACTGAAGGCAAGGAACTTTCTCCAACGTCAGGAGTGCAGGAATAAGAAAAGCATTTTCTTTCTAAGTACCTAGTCCGAGAACTGGGGTGATGGATGAAAATATTCCAACTGCACGTAACGGATGCAGAACTGGGTGGTTAGAAAAGGCTCTGAGAGCAAGAGGTTCCACTACACTGTGGAGCCAGTGAGGTTTGCAGACCCAGCACATTCACACGCTGTGGCTTTATTTAAATGTCGGCATCTCCCTAAAGACTTGTCACCCGTGGCCATCCTGGAATCCATGTCTGGGGAAGTCGGAGGATCGGGCCAAATCTGCACGTCCTGCAGGTGGCCCAGCCTCTCCTGTCTAGCGCTGCCTACCTGGCCTTGCATGACATCACACTGCTGATGTTTACTTAATAAGCGTTGCTCGGGCAAGCCACGGATGCCAAGTGCATAACGTGTCCTGTAAGTGCATTTTCTCCTTTATCTATTACATTACGCAGGTCCCTGAGGGGCCTTCTTTGCTCCAATATATAAGGGGTGAGGTTAAAAAGGATCTGATAACACGGGGCAATGGGATGGAGTCAAACGCTGGTTGGCATACAGAATCATTTCGTGCAACAACAAAAAACCCCCGAGAGATCTAGACGGCTGCCTTCATCACTCTCCAGTCATTCCTGACTGTCTTTGAGGACCTCACTCTGTAAAGAAAAGAAAAGAAAAGAAAAGGAAAGGAAGGAAAGGAAGAAGAGAAGAGAGAGAGAGAGAGAGAGAGAGAGAGAGAGAGAGAGAGACGTACGAGTACGTACGTACGTACGACGACGTACGAG